AGGCCCTGCTGCGCCGGCACCCACGACTGTTAAGCCCCCTCGCCTTGGGCCTGGCCGGAGTGCTGAGGGCCAGCCCGAAGCCCAGCCTGCGCTGGAGGCCAAGTCAGAGCCACAACCTCCGCGAGACACCGAGGAAGATCCCGGGAGACCTGAGGCTGCCGATGCGGCCGTGTTCCAGATAGAAAGTGCGGTCTGAGGGCTGGTGCCGCCGGCCTCCCCCGTGCCTATGCCTGGTCCCACAGTAAATCTTCCTCTCCGAATGCAGCATTCCCACCCAAATAAGGAGTGAATCCTGCATCCACAGTCCAGTTCCGGCCCTCCCTTCCCGGCTTCTTCAGCCTAGCATCCTCTGAAAGAGGAACAGCCACTCACACCTGCTTGCACTCACTATCAATAAAAATAATGTCACCCCCCCCAAAAAAAGCCAAGAAACTTTAAGTGTTTTGGTAAAGACTGATGTCTTTAATGCTGGCTTGAGGAAACCAAGGCTGTGTGTTAAAGCAGGGCCTGACACCATCCGTCCAGGTTCTTTTGCTCGGGTCATGTCCAAGTGCAGTGCTAAGGCTCACCCCATGCGTTCCTCCCAGCTCCACTCACCTGGGCCATTCTCACGCCCTCCCCAGGGGCCGCTCCAGCCCTGCCAACCTTCGACCTCCTGCTCCAGTGCACGGGGCCTTGGCTTCTACTTGGGGTTTCCTTGTATAGACTTCAGCCAACCTGCTCTACCTCTTACCTCCCCAACTCTACTGAACATTTCATGAAGAAAAGCAAACCTGGAAATATTTTTTCCTGTTATACCTTGTTTTATTATCTGTTTCTGCCTAATCCCGCCCTCCCCCCCCCAACTCACCCAGCGCAGGCGCACATACACACACAGCTCAATGCTGGAAATGGACGGAAAAAAGGAAAAATAAAAGATCAAGTGTGTCGAGTAACAGGAAAGCTAGGAAACATTGTTTTTCATGGTTGTAAATATGCCTTTCTTCATTATACAATGGAGACACAGACATGTAAAAAAAAGGTGGAAAAGATAGAAAAGGGTGAAAACATTACCACAGCCCCACCCTCCTAACTGCAACCATGTAAGCATCAGAGAATATTTCCTCCAGCCTTCTGTCCTTCGCCTGGATTCATTTCTTACCTGTGATCATCTTTTCCTTGCTCTGTTCAGACAGAATATCAATTTTTTCCTACGTCTCTAGTCTCCCTTTAGAATCTCCTCTCAGAAGCTCTTCTGCTGCTGCTCTTCCTAGCAGGTGTTTTCTGGGGCTCATCTCTGCTGTCTATGCTAATCCCAACCCCACAACTACTGCCAAGCCTGGACCCACAATTCCCAAACTGTGCGTGTAGGTGCTGGATGCCACAGCCAATGCACAGAGCGCTGTGGGATGTGTGACATTTCCAAGGGGAATATAGCCATGTTTGACACTTGTTGGATACCGTGCAAAATACTAGCTCGAGGTAGCTCCCAGTATCAACATGAGATCACCTACATTCCTTTGAATGATGTCATCTTTGCAAAGCGGGGTTCTGGGAAGTAGTTGTGATAAAAAGCAAGCACTGTACAAAAATCACAGTGGAACAGGAAAAGATCTCCCATCTGTTTCCAAGGTTTGAGAAGTCGTGCAGTGCCCCATGGTGCACACATACCATTGCTAAGTGTTCTCCAGAGAAACAGAACCAATAGGGTGTGTGTGTGTGTATGTGTGTGTACGTACAGAAAGAGATTGATTTTAGGAACTGGTTCACACCATTGTCAGGGCTGGCAAGTCCCCAATCTGCAAGGCAGGCTAAGGCCTTAGGGGAGAGTTGATGATGCAGATGAGTCTGAAGACAGTCTGGAGGCAGAATTCCTTTGTCCTCCAAGAACCTCAGCCATTATCTCTTAAGGTCCTTGGAAGATTGCCTGATGCCCACCCACAGTACGGAGAGAAATTGCATTTCTCGAAGTCTACTAGTTCAATTCACATACAAGCAAAATCTTAAAAGAATTTAGCAACACCAAACCCATGCTAAAAGAAATATTCACAGGTCTACTCTAAATAGAAAAGAAGCAGGATGCTACAAAAATGAGAAACTCCTAACTGGAAAGGAGATAACTGCCATGAATTACAAAAAGAATAAATATAAAATTGTAAAAGAAGACATCTAAATCATTAAGAGTGGGAGAGGGAAGCAAGGAAAGCCACTGTGGAAAACAGTATGGAGATTCCTCAAAAGACTAGGAATAGACTTACCATATGACCCAGGAATCCCGCTCCTGGGCATATATCCAGAAGGAACCCTACTTGAAAATGACACCTGCACCCCAATGTTCATAGCAGCACTATTTACAATAGCCAAGACATGGAAACAGCCTAGATGTCCATCAACAGATGACTGGATGAAGAAGATGTGGTATATTTATATGATGGAATACTATTCAGCCACAAAAACTGACAACATAATGCCATTTGCAGCAACATGGATATTCCTGGAGAATGTCATTCTAAGTGAAGTAAGCCAGAAAGAGAAAGAAAAATACCATATGAGATCGTTCATATGAGGAATCTAAAAAAAAACACCGAAAAACAGAAATATAGAACAGAAACAGACTCATAGACATAGAATACAAACTTGTGGTTGCTAAGGGGGTGGTGGGTGGGAAGGGACAGACTGGGATTTTAAAATGCAGAATAGATAAACAAGAGCATACTGTATAGCACAGGGAAAATATATACAAGATCTTGTGATATCTTACAGTGGAAAAAAAAAGTGGCAATGAATAACTGTTCATGTATAACTGAAAAATTGTGCTCTACACTAGAATTTGACACAACACTGTAAAATGACTATTACTCTAAAAAAAAAAAGGAAAAAAAAAAGTCTACTAGTTCAAATCTCATCTAAAAAATACCTTCATAGCAACATCCAGACTGGTGTTTGATCAAATATGTGGGTACAATGGCCAAGCCAAGTCGGCATATAAAATTAACCATCACTTGAGGATGAAAACAAAAAAGATATACATATATATATATATATATATGTATTTCCCTTTCACTTATATGATTTTATTTTCAATTGCCCACTAGGTCGTTAGGACATAAACACTAAGTTGTTCAGACTTTACCACTTAATGACCAGAAGTGCTAGGTCTTTCTTTTGGCCTACGGGCACTGAGAATGCCATAAACAGAACAAACTTGAGAACACACCTGTATACACCAATGGCTGCAGCCCACACTCCTCAAGTCCAGACACACACATTCTAAACGCTTGTGAATATGCATATATTCCAGATACATTCCAATACACAAGTAGGTTCTAAATGTATGTCAATATACATGTGTATTCCAAGGAGAACTCCCCAGTTACCTCATCTCAAATGTCTCAAAACTCAATTTCTTATTTCTTCCACCAAACCCAGTGTCAGTGCGACTTCCAGTAACATCTTTTTCAATCCCCACCACTTCTCCCCATTAACTGTCCCAATCCACCCCCACCATGGCATTCTCTTGATGCATAATACAGTGATTTTTTACCTATGCTACATTTTATTATAAAGATAAAATGAAATAGATGAACCCTAATCTCAAATTATGGGTTTATCATTTTTAGGGGAGAATATTTATTTTTCACTTCTTTCATGTCTTCGTATTTAGAAAAAGCAGTCAAGATAAGGTAGAGAAAGTACCCAGCCGGGTGATGAATAAGAATTTTTTTTTAAGGGAAATTCTCCTTGATTTAGAAAAGAACAACATTTTAAAATGTTGCCTCAAAGGAAACATTCTAGAGGCAGAAATTTCATTAAAATGAGTCTTGATAGGATGAGGCCATCCCATAATAATAAATTTGAGCCAGTCTCTGTTCTAGCCATGAGCCCAGCCCCACTCAAATAGCTGAGTCTGTGGGTGGCTTAGAAGACAAGTGCAACATTTGACCTTATAAAGCAAAAATCAAAGGCAGATAATGCTTTGAAAAGAAAAAAACCCAACAACATTCATTGTATCTATTTTCCCCTGAGAGCATAAGCACCTGAGAGTGAAAGATAGCCAACTATTACCAGGCAAAAAACTTTGATCGAAAATTGTTTTTCACTTATTTCTCATAATTAAAGCCGAAAACCACTAGAAGTTATTTCCTCTCTTATTTCGCTTTCTTGTTTTTCTCGGCAATATTTGCTCTATTGAATAAAGATGTGTTCCATCATGCATTGTAATATTTATGGGACTGCTCTCCTGAGATATAAGGCAATGTGATTTTTCTCTCTCAAGAAGGGGAACTTGTTATTCACGAGGGCAGTTGGTTTGCCATTAAAAAGAAGCCAATCCATTCAAATGGGGCTGTGGGCTCCGGCTGGGTGAGCGTTGCTATCACCAGCCCTCAACATACCTCAAGACCTAGGCGGCCCTGTAAAAAATTTAGTATTGTAATGAAAGCATACATCAGAAGGCTAAAAAGAAATGGTAACTCAGAGGAAGGCCATAAAATATTTGGTTAATGCTAAAAACTAGGGAGCATTACAGGTTGCATGTATTCATCTAATAGAAAAACAAGTCTACATGATGAGATTTACAATCAAGGCAGCAAAATATAAGTGAACTCAAAATTGGGGCTTTTTGGATAAGCAAGAAATCTAATAAAAAAGCACATTTGACAAAGGAACAGCACAGTTAAGCGTATTTATATTTCTCTGTGAAAGTACTTTCTCGGTTTATTCTCCTTGGCCAATGTATACATTTTTGGGCAGTGAACTAGGGGAAAATCTATAGGCTGACATATATTGCAGCATTTTTGGGAGATGAATTTTGCCACCCGGTTGACGTTTATAATAACTTATAATTCCAGCATTTTCTAGACTACACAATCTCACCAGCACCCCCAGACACTCCGAATAAACATAACCTGATTTTTCCAACACCATTGCTAAAAATAAAAGGACCACACAGGGGGAGTATCTTTCATGATCACAAGAACTATTGGAACAGGAAGTTTTCCTTAAATTCATTTCATTCAAAGCCTTTTGAAAATTAGCACTTCTCCATGGAAGACCACAGAACACTGGAGCCAGAAGGAATATGCGGGCATAGAGTCACTGGCTTGGAAATATACTTTTTTTTTTTTTTTAAATTACAATGCTGTGTTAGTTTCAGGTATACAGCAAAGTGATTCAGTTATCCATGTATGTATATTCCTTTTCATATTTTTTCATTATAAGCTATTACAGATATTGAATATAGTTTCTTGAGCTGTATAGTAGGTCCTTGTTGTTTACCTATTTTATATATAGTGGCATGTGTATCAGTTAATCCCAAACTCCTAATTTATCCCTCCCCACTCACTTTCCCCTTTGGTAACCATAGTTTGTTTTCATTGTGTTTGAGTCTATTTCTGTTCTGTAAATATGTTCATTTGTATCATTTTTTTTAGATTCCACATGTAAGTGATATCATATAATACTTGCCTTTAGGCAAAGGGGATACCCTGTTTTTGCAGCCCGCCCTCTGCC